CTCATCGAAACAGTGCATACCATCCAGGAATCTCAATAGAGGAAGCCCGCTCCCGCTCTTGTCTCTATCGCTCACCAAGCCCTCAAGGGTCTGGTGTTCTTCACCCTTCGAAACACTGAGATGTTGGGGGTTCTGTTGTTGAAGATGATTATGGTTCGTAGGCATCGCGGAGGCAACGCTCGGTCTGTGAATTGAGAAAGATGGGTGATGCGTGTGTATATTGGCTTGGGAAGTGTGGTGACCGTGGGTCTGAATACTTGGTTGGGAGGAATGGTGTACTCGTTCGTTACCGCGAATTGTGGTGGTATCTGAGTCGCGGGGGTTTGCGAGAGATGTCGCGGTACTTGTTTGCAGACTCGTTGGTGGTGCGGGTGGTAGGGTCGTTGAGGTCGCTATCGCGTACTTGTGCACACGGTAGAGGAATCCCTTGATGATGCCGAAGGTTATGAAGCGGCGTACGTCGATGCCAGTGAGAAGATCAAGATTCTCCAGCACCCAGTTCTTCAAAGTGAGACCTTGTCGCAGCGATGTGTATAGTGTTATCAACGTCTCATGGCTCGTCTGCCATACATTCTCTTCCTCCTCTTCCTTCTTTTGAGCGGCAATGTGGCTATCGAACTCTGAGACCCTAAGCGTAGATCCGACAGTCTCGCTTTGCTGTGATGACAAAGACGAGGTCGAACTACGCTCGTCCCTACTCTTCTCTGAAACTTCGCTATCCATCCGAGCTGTCTTTGCGTTCGATCCAAGTCTCATTCTCGGTACGCTGACGTAGCGCATACATTCCTCTTTAACCTCTGCATCCATTATGAAATCACCAATCTCTGCTGTTGGCGCATATATGGCGCTGAAGCTGAAGATATCCAGTAGTATTAAACATCCATAATACACCAAATGTTGAATGGCTCGTCTTGTCAACGAGAGATCGGTATCAGCCAGTTGCGCTATATGGGCTATCGAGTTGATACCGTTTATGTATGGTAGTATGCGATTGAGAGTGAGGTCCGAGGATACGGGTTGCTGGAGACTTGACAGAGATATGGTGAGCAAGGGCACTTGATGCGCGAGGATAGGCGGAGGAGGCGGTCGCGTAGGGAACAGCTTCAGGTTGATCGTATTCGAGTCATCTGGTAGTTGGTCAGTATGTACGTACTATAATCTGGTACGCAGCATGACTTACCGATTGGTATCATACACTCTGCGTAATTATTTAAATCCTCGAGCACCATCTCACACAGCGCGTACACCTTGCTGCCACCACCTATTCCAAATCCGCCGACGCCATCGTCGTACCCAAACCCAATGTTTCCCCCTTCATCTTCCCAAACGCCCTCCTCTTCTCTAGACAAGAATCCGCCCTGCTCTTCTAGACCTCTTAACAAGCGTCCCAGCTTCCTCACGACTTCGCCGTAGCACGCCCAGTCTCGCTCATTTTCGCCTATCACGATTGCGAAGTTGAAGATGAACTCATTTCTACTGTATTTCCCTTCTCTTATGCAAACAGGGTATCCGATGACGCGATTGTGGTTGATACAGAAAGTGAGGAGGCGATCGCAGAACTGTTGCGTGGGTATGAGGAATTGCGTGACCGAGGGAAAGGTGAACAGTGGTGTGGGGAGCGCCGATGGGAGGTTGGAGGGTATTATGGCGCCGGCGGGTACCTGGTGGAGGACGCGATTCCCTGGAGAAGATGTCAGCGGGGTTTCCTGAAGGCGCGGCTGTCTTTGGACTACCTTTCTCATGGTGGAAGCGAGTATAGAATATTGCTTTTATCGCGCGCGTAGGCATTGGAAAGGGTAGGCTCTACCGCCAAAATTTGCTGGCGACTACATGGTAGGTGTAGGGTCTTTGGAGTCGCGTCGCAATGTGGGGATCTTGGGGGAGCTTCCGAAGTGTGGTCCGCGCGCCACATCACGCGTTGATTTCCAAGGTTCTTAGGAGGTTCAAACTACCATCCCAACACATACGACTACAAGATACCGAAAATTAGTCTTCAGCCCCGCATGAGTATGGGTATTCCAATCTCAGTCACGCAGACTATGCCTAGGGCTCTGATCTGATTAGACTCAGAAGAGCAAGCGCCACATTACGGACGTTACCAACCTTGGATATGGTAGATTGAAGGCTGGAAGAGTCCTTCTCTCGTCAGGCATTTTTTGGCTCCAACCACCTCGTAACAACATCGAGATTCTTCCTCGTGCGTTTGACTCTCGTTCCAAGCCGCCCGTACCCCTAAGGCATCGAGAACTGATACCTTGACCCCAAACTTCTCAAGCACGCAAAGCACCATTCGGCATGCAACACGTCATTTTCAGCCTGGGTGAGGCGGAGTGGGTGGGGAAACTAGTGCATACGAGATGGCAGGATCCTGATCCTAGTGATTGAGCTTCAGCCTTGCCTGTTTGTATGAGCATGCAAGACCCTAGGCACACAGTGCTGTTCAGTCCTCCCGCAAGGCTGTCTCGAAGGCAGAACTTGATCAGAGATAGTTGACCTTGCTGTGCAACGTATAAGTCGACGTAAGCTCATCAAGTTACCCGTATCGTTACACCACCATATCTTTCCTACCTATCTCATGGCTTCTGCACACGATTATCTCAACAAATCTCAAGTTATATGGCAGCAGCTCGGTTTTGCTAAAGTCGGCCATGTCGCTGTTACGGAAATCTGGAGAAGCCAAGGCAATGAGCCGGATGCTACAATCTCGGTACACCGGGATGTCAACAGACAAGAGCTTCTGGGCTGGTTACAGAAAACCAACGGAACTGTATCAAGCGCAGTACCCAACATCGAAAGAAAATGCGTCCTTCGAATTGCTTGGATCCTTCTTGACACCAAGCGGCGCATCGTCGATATTGATCATGTCTTGTTCGAAGAGACATGTGGTGCCTTCCGTCACCAGTTGGCTCAGACCTACTGCAAAACTCAGTATGCAGGCATAGGCTCCATAATTGACCAGGAAACAGGAAAGAACGTGTACTTCCTTTGCAACCATCCAAAATTGGCATTTACATGGTCACGCGACACGGAGGCTGGCGTCACGAGCGTGACTTGTGTAGTGGACCGTTGCAAACTCGACATCCTTCAGGAAATGGTGGAAAACGATTTTGTGCAGAGACTGGCTGATCACGAAATGACGCCGGCGTTAATGAGCGCCTTGATGAGCTCAAAAGAGGTCGACATTGAGACAAGTGAGGTCAAGAAGTTGGTACGAGGAGTAGAAGTACGGACGGGTTATCACGAGTGGACGGGTCGAGTCGAGGACTCTGCGAGGGGCGATCTGGTAGGCCTTTCAGCCAGGATGAGCGGGTGTGGAGCAAGGGTTGATTCCAATACGCGAAAGCTAGGTGTGATAGCGGAGTTTGGTCGGTTCATTCGGAAGCATCTCGAAGATGAAAATGATACTGAAAGCCAGAAAGAACTGTTGGCGTTGAACGATATCGTCGAGCGGCGTACGGCTATGCAGGTCCTTGACTTGCAGTATACCAATTCTCGTATTCGGACTCAAAAGGAAGCGGTTAGTCATTGCGAACGCCTCCAAACGACGTCTCCGTTCGAGATCATAGTACTGACTTCACTTGCAGTTATTTCACCTCATATCCGCGAACGATTCTGCGTCGGCTCAGCATATTGCTGAAGAGTCCCGCCGAATCGCATGGGCCACTAGGAGCGATGCGCAAAGCATGAAACTTCTCGCTCTGATGACCACAATATTTCTACCAGGCACGTTCGTCTCAGGTCTCTTCAGCACGCCAATGTTCCAGCGCGAATCTAGAGATAAGGTCGACGACACCATTGTGAAGGTCTGGAAGCCAGGGCTGTTCTTGTACATCGCAGTCTCTCTGCCGCTCCTGCTAATGACTCTCCTGGTCTGGGGTTTGTGGACGTTTGGGTATAAACTGAAGAATGAGAGACATGTCAGGGCTGCAAGGAAACGCCTGTTTCATACTGCTGGGTCTACGGAAAAGGAAAACCTAATCATGAGGCAAAACACCATCACATGAACACTTCCTGTGGCTTTACAATAATTATCCTCATATCCTATGGGTCTTCAAATGGGTTTTTGGGAGACTGCTGTTGCTTCAATATCATCTGTATCCGTTCCACGTAGATGCTCATGCTGTGCATGACGATATCGCCGAACACCACTGCCTCCAGTGCTGTTGGGTCGACATGCAATGGGAGAACTTTCTTCAGTTCGCCAGTCTCATCAGTCTCGCCTCTCAGGACCACTTGGTCTCCGCTAGGGAGGTAAAAAGGCGGGGGGACTACCCATTCCCCTCCGGTGAACGGTTGCGTCCATGCCTTAACAAGGCTCCGCATATAGTCTTCCTGCGCAAGAGGAACAGGGTCCCCTTCATTGACAAATGATATGAAAAGCGATGATTTCGTCGTCGGACGCAAAATCGCAGGTTTGGAAATCGGCGGTCCTCCAAATGTGACGCAGTCTATGCACATAATTTTACACACTACATACAGCGGCGCCTAGATCAGCCAAGTGCTTGAGAGTATAATGGGCTCACTTACTTGCCAGCGGTCGTGACCATGGAGAGCTATTCGAATGCATAGATGCAAAGAGAAGCTGCGCAATTGCGGCACCGCTCGAATGGCCAGTGAACAATAGGCCTACTTCACCTAGGAAGCGATTCTCAAACAACTTGACTATCTCGGCTGAGACTATAGATTCCATGTTCTTTGCGAGCGCAAGAAGACCGCGATGAAACTTCATGCCTACCCCCAGCTCGTCGCAGTCCATGGGATCTGTATTCGTGTTCACAGCCCACTCCATCGGAGAATACATAGGCCATCTGGTAGCGCGAAATGCGACTACAACCGTATCATGCCCGTCGACCTTCGCAGCATGTAAGCAGAAGGGCCTACTGTTTCCGGTGACACTCTTCGGCCCGCAAAATATCGTGTCGTCCGATGATTCATTAATCTTGTGAACACGTAGAGCCCATTTTGCTGCGAGATCGACTTGTTTCCAGTGGCCTTTATCCCTACATTCCCTTTAGTTTCATATTGCAGTTCTTATTCTCTTTGATCACGTACAACTCAAAAGGATCGGTATTACCCCGGAGAAGATGATTCGGATATTGTTCGATCTTACCAATGTAGTCGATCAACTCGTTGTCGACTTGGAGATGTCAGCGAGATGTTATGGGTGCTCTTGATTCATGCTGCAAGTGCTCACTCACGTTGATCGGCAATGTCGTGTGAGAAGTCAATATCGTTCAGCTTTTTGAAGGCTTTAGACAGCGCGACCGAGTTCGAAGTACTCTCAGTAGACTGTGATACACTGTTCGAGGAAGAGGCTACAGCTCCGCCGCTTTCAGCGACCACAGTCTTCGTTTTCGACTTACGGAAGATATTCCGAAGTCTTTTGTTCGCTTCTGCTTTTGACTGTGGCATCTTGAGAATATGCCTCTATGATGACTGCTCTGATCATGTCAAATTGGTCGTTGCCGCCTGAACTCTTGGCATCGTTACACAGCTGAGGGGTACTCGGATACCCGACCTTTCCTCGCGATCTTGGGAGACGCGTCCCTGGTAATACCACCTTTCCTTTATGACACGATGGATCCTGAAACTTCTGGAAGCACTCCAGATGACCACATCTACGACGGTACCTTTGATGCGATCTTCCGGCTGCTCAGTACCGTTTATTGGGACGGCTTGGAGAGGGAAATACGCGAACTCATTCTTGCCTATCAAGATATCGAGACGTACCAGCCGAATTATCCAGACGAAAGCAGTGCCCCGGATCTTAGCGCTTGTAACTTTAAGCGTTTCTGTACGTTGTTGAGTAAGTTTACGACTGGCGAGCTCAAAAACCATGGTACGCACGCTGACCGAGCTACAGCACCCTATGTCAAGGGTGACGATGCATTCGATTCCGTAAGATTGCATAGTCGCGCAGTCGAACTTGCCCAAGGTACATGGACTTCTTCCCGTATGCTCGAATCGGAAACGGCTAAAGGTTTACGTAGCTCACCTAGGTCTCGATTCGAAATCACGTCGTAGTCGGCATCTTCTTCAAACGCTAGGTAATTCACACTACAGGCTGTATGTGTGAGTATTGTTGATACGTTATACTAGGGCTACTGGATGTCGATGTGGTGCACGACGGTATGGACGACGTTACCATTGGCAGACATTGTCATAATCCACGTGGTATGTAATGGGAAAATGAAGAAAGCTCAGAATTTGTAAGTTGATTGGAGATTTAGGCGAGACGTTCAGACTACCTAATCAGTCGCATTTTTATTTTCGTGAAATGCGTTGCGAAGCGTGCCAACAACCCCTGCGAGAATATTTCTATTATGAGTGTAATGAAGGATGTGTCAGGTCAGTTCGCACCGCTTTGTAGCCTTCAAGCTTTGCTAACGCTCTGTGTCTTTCAGTTCGATTCCGAACTTCTACATTCAGGATCAAGAAAACAACGATATCGAGGCCCCAGATTTACCCCTTGCGTCTCAGCCGCCCGTGAGGCTATGCGTTGCATGTACGCGCAAAGACAACAAATTGGCGACATGTAAGCGAGAACACTGTCGCAAGATCTTTCACCCCAAAGTTGAAGACAAGGGTATGACACTTTCATAATTTGATATGTCCTTAGACACTTAAACTCTTCTAGGAATGGCCTCATTCAGGGCAAAGCTACGGACCTTTGAATTCAGGGAAAAAGACGGTCCATCCAGGAAATCGAACGGTTCATCCGAGTCGCAGCTGAAGAGAACGGCTTCCAAGCTTATTTCTCCCACACACTTCGCCAATGCAGGACTACTTCACGTCGCTCTCACTTTCGGGCCTCTGATGATAGAGAATGGCGTGCCACAGTGAGTCATCGACCCACTACCTTGTAGCATGGTACTGAACCAACCTATTAGCGTCTACAAATCCGACATTTCGTGTCGGCCCATACCGTCTCTCCGATACAAACCATCTCTCATGAAGATGATCTTTTCTGAACGGGACGCGACGGACGAGACAGTCCTTATAGGACATGTGTACGATGACAGAGCCAACAAACGCGTGATCAAAGAGCTACACCAGAAACCTAGAACAGATCGCCGCATTCTTGGTTGCGCGAAGAAGGTATGTGGTGGTGCACTCTCTGGACACAATGTGCACTTGGCAGATGGAGAAAAGGACGTGATAAGGCGTTTGGTCGAGGCTGGCTCTAGCTTTAAGATAAAGGGAAAGTCTACTGATTGGGTCACTCAAGCGCGATCGAACCTGCGCAAGGCCTCGCTACCGATAGTCGAGGCTATCAAAGAAACCTTTGAACACGAGATCAATATATATCTCAAGCACTTCTCCAAGGTTCTGTCGAATCCCGATACCCGACTGAGTTGGGATTGGCGAGACAACAATTGCCAGACCTTCGCGACAAACCTCATAAAAGACCTGCGGATCTATGGCACGTTCCATCACATGCCCTTAGCTTTCATTGATGATGAAAACGTTCGCAATGCGAAGGATTGGTCCTGTCCTCGATACGCCATGTCCTTCGGGTCAAGCATCGACACGCCGATAGCGTTACTGCGACCGCAACCTCGCTCCCTCATTTGGAACTTCTACCACAGACACCGGGACAACTGCGATATTGTGGAGTTCGGAGAAATATACCGTAGGAAGCCTTGCGCCTTTCCGACCGAGGCATGGCTGCTGCTCGACGGCATTGAAGACACTGGAGAAGCGAAGATTTCGTTAGTAGATGCTCTGTGGAGCATACCGAGGGACTCCGTATCTATCTTACACACCCATCTCTTGCGCGACTCATCGGTGTACTCCAGCACGGAACAAAAGGTTTTGACCAGAGAGCAATGGGTCCAGAATCGTCTTCGCGTAATGCACCAGCTGGATGTCTTCGCAAGTCTGAGCGGTGCGCTCACTGCAGCGCTGATGGAACAACGGATCGAAAAACGACATCTCATCGCAAAATCCGCCCATCCTCTTGCCGAAGACTATGGTGACTTTCACGCCGAAGAAAGAATGAAGATCTTTGATGTGGGTGGGCGCTTTATATACTCCGTCTCAGGACGTGAGAGAAACTGGCACAAAGCAGAGTGGATGCATCTCTTTAGGAAACTAAAGAACGGGGAACAGGTCCACAAGAACTCCTAATATCTACTTGACGCCTTCACCTTATACAAGATTAAAAATTGACTAGGTCTAGAGCCTACATCAACGTTAGATTATCTGCTTTGTATGCTTCTATGTTAACGTAGGCTGCAGGCCTGTTCAGTTTTTTTCTTAGTTAACGTGCCTTGATAGTCCAGAAAGCCCGTATAAGAATAGCGCCTAGTCAGAGTGGCACCACCTCCTACATGAAAAAAACCGAACAACTGCCTCCTAGAAGTCTACATTACCCCGAAGGATATGTGAACTTCAACTCTTACACTAACGTAGACGGCAGAGTACCTGTTTAGTTTTTTCCTTATATGAGGTGGGACTGGATTTGAGTTGGCGAGATCAAGCGTGAAAGGGTATATTGAAACGTATCGATACGCTCGCCTGGATGGAAAAATCAAGAGCCCAATTCTTCTTTGGAAATACTCACGCCGTGTAGGAAAGAAGTGTACGCGTAAGAGCACGTATCAAAGGAGAAACCCCCTTGAGCGAATGCCGCATCACTCAATCGTCCGAGCCGTCCTCAGGCAGCTCCCTCAGCACGCCCTCCACAATCTCAATGAGCTCATCAACGTCCGGTCGCTCACTTGGCTCCAGTCTCAAGCACTTCCTCACCACCTCTTTGACGCTGTCTGTGATAGCATCCTCGGGGTTCGCCTTCTGCTTGCCCCTCTGCATACCCTCGTCTGGAAATCTCCAGTCACCACCCAAGACACATATGCTCAGACTACCACCAGTCTCGTCTGACCTAGCCTCGAAGGGGCTCTTGCCGACTAAGCAGGCGTAGAGCGTGCAACCGAGCGACCAGATGTCGACCTTGGTGTCGATGACAGAGCCGGTCTTGACGTCGAAGAGTTCCGGAGCGCGGTATGGCATGGTGGAGTGTTCGGCGGCGGTATCTTGGATTTGTAGGGCGAGGGAGCGCGATGTGACGGGTGTTGGGGACGGTGCGAGGGAGCCGAGGTCCATGAGGATTGGTGTCTGGCCGTCGTCGTCTATCATGATGTTTCCTACGCGTGTTAGTCTCTAGAGTGCGCAGTTATGAGATGCATGCGATGCATACCAGGCTTGATATCTCGATGCGCGTACGCCCGTTCTCCACCAGGCGCAATGCCTTCGTGTGCTGCTGTTACTTCTGACTCCTCTAGCAGTCCTTCTGCCTCTTGCTCGTCGTCCTCGTCATGATCGCGATTCCGCCTGCTCGGGCGCATCTCCATTGTCTCCGCAGCTTCCGCGTCTGCCCTCTTCGCATCCCTCCGGACCTTCTTCGCCTTGCCCTCGCTCTTCGCGCCGCCGGGTCCGCCCTTGATCTTGTACTGATGCATTGCCTTTAGCGCTTTGCAGACACCCAGAAACAGCACCATGAGTCTTCGCTCGGGGAACTTTGTGTGGTTGACCAGGTTCGCGTTGATCATATCTTGCAGGTTGCCGCGACGGTAGTACGGGAGGAGGATGTATACGGTCTTCGCGGACGAGTCTGACTTGTCGGTTTCAACGGAGTAGTCGATTGAGTGTATGATGTTGGGGTGCGGCGAGAAGAGTGTGTAGGCCTCGACTTCCTTGAGCGCCAGGCTCACGCTTTCTTGGCCGAAGGGACATCTAATCTTCTTGAGGGCGAGGAGTTGTTGATTTGAGTTGTCTTGTACGAGGTATACATATGAGAAGCCACCCTGTGTCGCGATGAGTTGACTGAATGCAGTCCGTTGTATGTGGCTCAGCTTACCTCGCCCAGCAGCCGTAATATCTTGAAACTCCGACTGTTGATCTTCAATTGTGGTGAGCTAGGAAAGCAAACCATGCAATTCGTGAAGGAATAGACAACGTCCAGGAAGTATGTGCCTAAGGATCCCATCGTGGCGGTTTCCGTTGCGACTGCGATTTGTTTTGTTTGCGAAGCTATCGACAGCTTGCGGGAAGGCGGTGCCGAGATAGACGCGCGGTCAATTCGAATTGTCGAGTGTCGCAATAGTACGGAGCTTATTTTTGGGTGATGAGGGGGTGATCTAGGCGGAACGATAGTGACGACGTGTTGTTTACTGTGATAGGATGTTGGTGCTGACGACGAGGTTCCGGGTTGCGCCAAGGCGTGGCTGTGAACCCTGGCAGTTGCACGCTTCCGATCGCCTGCGGAACGTGGTCGGGAAGATCCACGTGCCGCTAGCCCGAAGCTGGCGTTAGCGCACCATCACCCAAAAACCCGCGATATAATCCAAACTCCACGAATACTTGCCAACAACCTCCCAAAGATGAACAGAACATCCAGGGCGTGTGGCTCA